TCATGGGCCACCCGCTCTAAACTCCAAGCACATAGAACTGGGTCACCCGAATTATCGATCAAAGGTTGCCTGTGGATTCCTGCAACCCAGCCTTCAATTGTCAAAAAGCAACAACACAGCCCCCCACTCAACCACCTCCGAGCCTCTGTTTTTGACCATCCTCAGAGCCTCTGCTCCATTGGTTGCCTGCTCCATTGGTTGCCCACTCCAGTCCTCTTCTGCTCCCTTGTATACTACTCTCCTCGCCACCGCCATCGCGTGATAATCCAATTCTAACAACGACGTCCGACGGGGGGGGCGGGATCGAGAGACAGATAGATTGCGCCGTAAGAGATGGTTAGTCACGTGTAGCGAGAAATCACTCTCAACAACATATTCGCCTGATTGAGAGCGAAGTATCTGATTGAGAGCGAGAGCCAAAAAAATTGAAATTTCGGGTCCAGACGCCTCTTGCCATTTCTTGGCAAGTAGGGGACGGGCTATTCCAAGAAGCGGTGCAAATTGAAGGTCTCATCAGCAGCTTCGCGAGCATATGCGTGTCATCGTCATCGGATGCTGCAGCGAGGAGCTAGACAAGTTGCTAGATTTGCCCAGATTGGCTATTTCTGCTCAAACTGTTTCAGGGCGGTATCGCGTCGGGCGGTGGGCTCTGCTGTAGCTTCTGCTCCCCGCTGTAGCTCCACAACGAGAGACTCCCACAGGATGACCAGGGTAGCGGCTTGAAGCTACGGGCTAGCCCTTCAATTCAAGCTACACAGCAAGCTCCACCTCTCAGTGGTAGTCCGGCTACAGCGTATCGCGCAATCTCGCTCTCAATCAGATGCTACGCTCTCAATCAGGCGAATATGTTGTTTCTCGTGAAAATTACGTGCTTCCTCCCAAAGATAGGAGGCGCCCAGACTGACGTGTGTGTTGGAATAGGTTGTTAGTGGGTTAACCCGATGCTATACCCTGTGGAAAACAGTTTCCTCGCCAGATAGTTGAGCGCTGCAGAACTTCCCCAAAGCAAAAGATTCAATCACGTGTGGGTCCCGTTCCTCGCCGCTAGGGTGTGATACTTCTAGTCATCATTCAGGAAGAAACGATGCTGCATACACCTTGTTGACTTGGTCAAAGGTAGGTGCCATCTTGTTTCTCACGGACCCTTGCCATGCATAGCGGACATGAACTCTACCGTATTTTGGGTCTTGCCTCAAGAAGATATATGCAAGGCTTAAGAATCCCTAGGAAGTTTGGCGTCTTGCCTCCCGCGGGCGACGCAAGAGGACGTGACCACTGCTCTGCGACATTTGCAACTATTGCTTTGCCGTTTGTGGCGCGCGTACGGTTTTGACCTGTGCAGAAAGTGCCCGATCTTGGACAAGCGTTGAGCATCACCCAGGGTGACGCTTTCCTCCTGGCAAGCTGCGGGTATTCGGGATGTTTCAGGCCTGGTACTGTCAGTGAATCAGCTTCCCGCTTTTGACACTCCAAGGCGTTACTTTTCTCTTTGTTCTGTTGATGTTGGTCATTCGTTCATGCCGTCCGTCTTGACCTGTCAAGATCACTTCATTCACTCTTGGCGACCCTTCACAAAGGCTCCGACATTTTTGCCCCTCTCTTCTCGTGATGGTTTCCTTTGGATAGGTCTGCATACGAGTGACAGACAAAACGCAATGGAGGGAGACGAGGGTTCGGGGTCCGTAGGGTCTGGTGAGTAAAGAGCTAGGGAGATTGGTGCAGAAACCGTGCTTTGGGTTTTTCCATCGCTCTTGGCCAATAGGATTCAGGACTCACAAACACCGTGTGAATATCCGTTCTGTATTCTTCTGTTTACTCGCTTGTGCGCTGCTGCTGTAATGAGCAGTGCCGGTTGCAGGCGCACAGTTTCAGGGTCAGACATGTTGAGACGCGACGTCTTTCGTCTGGACTCAAATGTAGGTGTGCGCGCGTTGTTTGGTTTCTTTGTTGGTGCTCCATGGAGCTGGGTACATCGCTACAGCATCCCCACGCTGTTGCGTTCAGTCCCAATCATTCCCAATCCTGGAGGTTTGTTCGAATGTTATCATGTGAAGGGCTCATCATTCATGTGTTTTTTTGTTCACCTTTCATGCCTCAGGTCGTTCATGGCATCACCGGCAATTGTTTTGTCCGTTTGGCTACTTTTATATGGTCGTTAAGCTGTTGTTATTATCATGTGAAGAACGGCCTAGGCCAAACATTGATGACTTTGTTGACCCTTCTTGGATGGCAAGTTTATTTTGTAGCGTGTGAGAAATGATCCGGATGATCTTCGCGTTGTGGCGTCTTCTTCGCCCAGTTGCAAACTCTACCGCCACGGACTGCAATTCATTTCGAAGGCCCTGTTGGTGTTCTCTAGCTTACATGTACACGAATACGTTGTATGTTGATATGCAGGACCTACTCGTAACTCCTGCTTGGAAGCCCTCATCGTTTCTTTGAATGAGACGTGCGACGGGTCGAGCTGGTACACGTCGACCAAGGAGCTGCAGCTGGCCTCCTTGGAGTTCTGCATCGCGTCCAGGAGCTATCCGACCGTGCACTTGAAAGTCGCCGACCAAATTCCACGCAGGCTGCTGGCCATTGCAGATGCTCCCCCGCTGAACCCGAAGCGGTTATGTTGGACACGTGTGCCATGTCTAAGAGCGCGCCGCGTGACGTGGAACTTCCCGACAGCAGCGAAATTGAGATATCCGATCTTTGCCATGACCGACGTGGAGTACCTGGAATTCCGCATGGGCTTTGAAGACGGCCTTGACGCTGTGGCATGGCCACAACGAACGGCTGAAAACGATCCACTTTCACGTATGTTCGCCATTAAACCAGCCTCTGGGACTGGTGCAATGGCCAGCATCTCTGCAGAAGATCACGTTCGGAGCAGATTTCAACCAACCGATCGAACGTACGTGTGGATTTGCCGGCATCGCTGCAGCAGCTCATATTCCCCACGTCGTATTCGCGTTTCAACCAATCGATTGCTGGAGCGATTCTGCCGCCTTCGGTGCAGCTGCTTGCTCTGGGGATGGCCTTCAGCCAGTCGATCGAGGATATTGTGTGGCCCGCATCCTTGCAGCAGCTGACGTTTGGGAACTCATTCAACCAGCCCATTGAGGGCACTGTGTGGCCAGATTCGCTGCAGACTCTCGTTTTCGGATGTATGTTCAACCAGCCAGTGGACAACGTGAAGTGGCCGTCGTCGTTGCAAGAGCTTTCGTTTGGATGGTGCGAACAAGGGGACATTAGGACGATGGTGTTTGCGAACTTCAATCAACGCATAGGCAGCTGTGCCTGGCCTGCATCGCTTCGGCGACTCACACTAGGCCACAAGTTGAGGCAGTCGTTGCAAGGCGTGGGCGCTTGGATGCCCAACCTTTAAGCACTTCGCCTTCTCGATTTCCATTATGCAGGTGACGTAAGCCTTCTCCGCGGAATCGAATGGCCGAAGGAACTTCGTCAGCTGACCGTGTTGGAAGGCTCGAGCGTAGATGGAGTGGAAATCTCTTCTGGTGTGCGGGTCTTGTTCGCGTAGAACGAGTGCTACATGTAGTGTCTATCGTAGTGACTTGGACGTTTGATTATTCTGAGGGGAGCAGCATTTTCTGCAGTCACATGACTTACTAAGGAATGCTTTAGTGCGAAACGTAACGATCGAGAGATATCAGGGAGATGTCGGAAATATGGCCTTGGGCTCTTGCCGGCTGGAGTGCTTGGATTTCGCCACCAACTGACGCGATTCCAGAGCATCCCACTCAAGTCGATTGACTACCCCAAGCTGCCACCTGGAACTGCCTTCAGTTCGATGTACAACAGTCAATGTACAGTTTCGGCTGTCTCAGCCTTTCTCCATGGGGGTACTGTGAGGTGAGCTAAGTAAATCATGTAAGCTGCTGCTGTTGCTGCTGCTGCTGCTAGGTTCCCAGTACGGGGCTGAGCACTCGTAGCGCCAGTACGTGCCTGGCGAACCGACCGGCGCTATACAGAGAGGACGGTGCTATTCAAAGTACAGAATGACCTGTGTGCCCAGCGCTTCCACCGTCGCATACAATGCCGCGGGCGTTGTTCAACCGGCGTTGGTTGAGGGTCCCTTGTACTGTACATTGTTTTTGTGTCCACACGACCGACGTTCTGCTTTCATTTGGTGGAACCTCAGAGTCGGCATCGACTGTATAGTCTAAGTAGGGCACCGCGGATGAGAACCATTCGAGGGGCTTGACGAGGAAAATGTCGATGTGAGACATGCCGGAATCATTGAGAATATATTGGTGGAAATGTTGTCCTTGTTCGTTTAAACCCTATCGGATGTCTTCAGCGTTTGTCCGGCTGAGAAGGTTTGATACCAGAATGCATGCTGTACCACGAAAAGTGGAGGGTAAACCCGTACAACACCAAGAGACACCACTTTGCCATTTTTCACCGCGACCTATGGGTCGTGAACCACATGCCAGTGGGCCATGTGTTCACCAAGGTCGGAGAATAGTGTAGACCAGAGAATCGTAAGCTTTCTCTGTGGTACTCCCGTTCCATTATTGCGGTTTAGCATCATGAGCCCATAGTCTATCAGTCGATGTTACGCCAGCGTCTCAAGGAGCGACCCTTCATTGGCCCCGAGACATCTTGAAGTAACGGCGAAACCACTGTGTGTGGTGGACGTGGGAACAAGCACCAAGAATGAGTTGAAAAATGGTGTGTTCTTGGTGGAGCTACAGGGCTCACATTAGTCTTGATAACGTCTAAGCCCTTGTCAACAATGTTTTCTTAGACGTCTCTTCAGCAATGGACACCTTGTCAACATGCTCTGTCTGGCTAACTCTTGCTGCGTGTTCTACACACCACCTCATGGTCGGCATTCCGAACGCCGGTTGAATAGACCGAACGGCATGAGTCGTGCCGTATGTACAATAAACAAACCTGCAAACTGCAGACCAGACCATAGTGACCGTTGTCTAAGGTGTGTTCTACACCATACCGTGCTGCTGTAAACGATAAAACGATCGCGAGAATTGCGTACAATAGTTCGACAAAGTTCTCTGCCTAAAAACACTCCACGGAACGGCTAACCTGACAATGGATTTTGTTTCTGCGGATCAAATTCGATATGACGGAATAATACACTGCGATTGCTGCATCGTGCAGCACGGTAGGAACAGACAGCACCGGAGGTGTGAACGAAAAGGCGGCTCTCTCTTGCTTGTGTCGCGGGCGTGCTTGATCGTTCATACGTATCTACGAAGGTGTAGTCTAGACGTGCATAATATGCAGAATGTTTCTGAGAATTGTCAGCTGGTTCCCATGTTGTACAACTTGGTGCTTGTCTTTCCCTTCACGAAGAATGCCTATATATTTGTTCCTTGCCCAAATAATGACCTGGGGTCGGGGGTTGATGCCCCCTCCTCCCCTGCCTTCATTCCTACCATTAAATGTCAGACGCCTCCTTAGGTAGAAAAACCAGGCTGAAGATATATAGCTGGTCGATCAAGCTTGGAAATAAAACCTTCCCAACAATTCATGTCCTGCTACATGGCCGAACACACCCTAAGGGCCTTTCCATGCCCTGCTCAAGACTACAACATGCTTACCTCGACCTTCTGGTCTTTCCATGTCTCGCTTTTCCCAGAAACAGCCGTACCTTGGCCTACCGGTTGTTCCATGTCCAGCTCGTAAGCCTGAAACACGCTGACCTTGACATAAATTCTTGATTCTGCCTTTTCATGCCTCCCTCAACTACTACCCGTTTCCGCCATGACCAAACCATAGCCACCATATTCCTTTTGCTCAATCGCCACCATTCAGACAATAAACACACGCCGTGATTTTGGGGTGGGTGGGTGGGTGAGAAAGGGAGCCACGACGCAATTACTTACCCTTTCTGTGTTTCTTCCCTCTCCGTGCTCTCGCTTCCACCTTATTCCTCTTTTATCCCGCTCTATTCTTGCCCGTTTGCTTGGTTTGTTCGTTTGCGTTCCGATGCTTCTGTTGTGGACAAGAGTGCATCCCCTTTTCTTTTCTACCTTCTGTTTGTTTCTATTCCGTTGTATCTGCCCCATCATGTCTAATCTCTTGTTGCTTGATATGCCTACTTGGATCTCTCTTACCGTTCTGGCGAAAACATCAGGGAGTACAACACAACCTTCCTATTTTTTCTCACTTCCCGGGAAAGTTCATATTAATTTTTCTTTTTTCCTCTTCCAAACAAGGGCCCAAGCGAGGGGGTTAAACTTCCCAGGTGAGATACCCGTGGTTCCAGGAAATGGAGAATTCCTCGACGGCTACAGCAGTAGCCACATGAACAGAGTAGCAGTCAATGCCCCGCGTCTCGAAGGGGAGAGTCGCGGCCATAGGTATGACTCGTGGAGAAAATCGCTTATCCAAGCGGCCAAGACTGTAGGACTGGACGGCCAATCGATCTGCACCAACCGTGATTGCGTGCGCATCTTAAACGAAAGCACAGCACGCACAAACAACGCCTCCTTGACGGCAAACCGCGTACGTACATCGACAGCATGGTGAAACGCTTTGATGTACAATCGACCTCCCGCATCCCTGCTTCCCCTGGTGTCGACCTAGGACCGAAGCGACATGACGAGAAGGGAGGGGAATGGCCGGTGAGGGAGGCCATCGGCAGCATGATGTGGGTGCCGACGTTCTCGCGTCCAGACGTCTCGTTCGCCGTACGTGCGGTAGCGCGCCACGCCCACGCCCCGGCGAAGCGGCACTGGGATGCCATACAGAAGATCCTCGGCTACCTGAAAGGGACGAGGGACCTCGGCATTACCTACCAACGGGGATCGGGGTTAGGGCTGGCCGTGTACGTAGACGCTAGCTAGGCCGACACGGAGGATAAGCGTTCGGTGTCAGGGTTGGCGACGACGGTTGGAGGTACCGTAGTCAGCCATGGTAGCAAGACACCGAGCATCGTGTCTCTGTCTTCGACGGAGGCCGAGTACGTTGCTGCCGGGGAGGGCGTCAAGGAGGCGTTGTTTGTGCGTGCTGTGCTTTCGTTTGTGGCCCCAGAGACCAGTGGTAGCAGCGTCCAGGTCCTTGAGGACAACCAGGGGGCCATAGTGTTGGTGCAGAACCCCCTCAGCTCCTTTCGGACGAAACACATCGACGTGAGAGTTCATTTCATCCGCGGATTGTTTATGTCGGGGGATATTTCGGTCAAGTTCGTTCCGACTACGGAGCAACACGCGGACCTCCTAACCAAGGACCTTAGCAGGGCCAGTCTGCAGTACCACCGGCGGAAGTTGATGAATTCGCCGGAGTAGCTGTAGCAGTTTCTAGGACTTGGGAGAGGCCATGTTTCGCATTCGGGGAAAGGCGCATAACTGTTGCGGTCTGTGTACCAATGACAGGAATAGGGGGCGTTGGGGGACCACCGTCCGGGGGAACGTAGTTCTTCGCGTTCTTGTTTTCGCCTTGACCTTTCTGATACGTGCGGCCGTTGTGATCCGCTGTGATAGCGACGGTTTTTGTGGTGGTAAGGTTTTTTTTTTTTCGAGGGGTTGAGCCCGGACGCCGGGTTTCCCCTCCATATATCACCATGTTGGTATTTTCCGATGTATCCAGGGGCGTTCTTGCCCCATTGATGGTTAGTCACTTGCATGAAGAACCAGCGAGGGTGGTCGTGGGTCTGCGAACATTGGTGTTGGATACATGTTCTGGATGATATTGGGGTCACGCAGACTGGAAAGATTGCCATTTGGTACGGGGCACCGCCATGATTCATGGGGCCCCTCCTTGCTGCGGGAGCCGCTCTTTGAGCGCTCCCTCTTTCGTCATCGTGAAGGACCGTCGTCGACCTCTCGTGAAGCTAATACATCACCAAAACAGTCTCACCCTATAAATATGTGGCGTAGGCCGCAAACATTGTCCACCTCGCGCATTTGCTAGTCGTCGCAAAATGGTCTCCATCTACTTATCATTGGCGTTGATATCGTGGAACCACGTATGCATACATCTACGTCACATTTGCTAGAGCAAGTTCCCGTTCATGCGTTCCTCGCAACTGGCTGGATCTTGGGAAAAGGATCGACTGCGAGGGCCTCGCCATCGACACGCTTGTTTCCGGTTTCCTGTGCTTCGTCGCTACCGTCACCAGTGAGTTAATATACCTGTCTTCCTCCGATCCAAGGGTAGAACAGGGTGGGTGGTGGGGAGGAATTCTTTACCGTTGTGGGGTCGGACAAACAAGTGTTGGATGACTGCCTGTGGAACAGAAACTTTCATCTCCTCCTACCCTCGCAAGCAGTTGTTGCTCTCCCCGAGGCATCCGCATTAACATTTCGTGTGTTGCGGTTGTTTGTTGGGGCCGATTGCCTTGTCATGAGCAGACGCGGGCTCAAACAACGTTCGATGAATAACACCCTTCGAAAGATCGATATTCCTCGATCTGGAACACCCTTAATTCAAGCTTTGGTTCCGATATTTGCTAGAGAGCTAGTTCTTTTTGGTCGTTTAGACCGGTCGCCATTTGAACCGCCCCGTGACGCTGCTATGTTCCGAGGCATGCGTACGCCTCCAGGTGTGTGCGATCACCTTCCCGGAAACGGCGGGTCACAAGTCGGATGGGCAATCGCGTCCCTAGCCGCCTGCCGTGTCGGCATCTATCTTCATGGCCATACCGGGGGATTCGTGGCCAGTCTGTGAACTCTCGACGCTGGCCTCGCCAGGTAAGCAGGATCCGTTCATGTATGCGCAGGAAAACATCCCCGAGACGCGTCGGGGGAACGGCGTTCAATGGTTGTCTGTGCACATGTTCTGTTTCTTTAGGGCGGGCTTGTAGTCTGTCCGATCTGGTCTCTAGCCAGATTATCCGAAGCAGCCCTGGCTTCATCACATAAAAAACACTCTGTATTTTTTCCCTCATTGCTTCAACCCGCATCCCGCTCTCGATTCTCTTTAGTACGAAGTCTGCGCGCCTGGGCGATATAAACTGTTGTCCGCCAAACTTGTCGACTCACCTTCGAAATGTCTCAAGCTGTCCTTGGCGGAATGTGCAGGCCATCCTCTGCCCTGACAGGATGGCTAGTCACTACAGTACAACCCTGTGCCCTGGATCGTTCCTGTTATCCCGTCGCCCCTCTCTTTTGGACGGGGATTTCACAACATGAGCCGTGATTCCGGTGGTGACGATGTCTCGTGCAACACTTCTGGAGGCAGGGATGCTGGTGGTGTTGACCTTCTCCTAGGTGAAGGAATCGTGGTTGAATCGGGGTCGGTCACAAGCCAATCTTCGTACGACCGTGCCGAACACACTTCCGGAAGCCCGCTACGCCTCTGCACTGAAACGATGTCCTACAGCGGGGTGTAGTTCGAAAGGTCATATCGGGCTCAAAGTCTTCGAGTTGTTTAGTTAGGGCGCGCCAGGTACCGTTCACGAGGGAGTATATCATGGGGTGTGGTGTACCGCAACCGCCCCGTACCGGGCAAGGAAAAGAAAAGCTAGTTTTTGCAGTAGAATCCTTGATGTTCAGTGAGAAAAGACGTGGGTTGCGTCCATCCCCGTGACTGGTTGTGCCACGTCAATAGCCGGGCACAGAACATTCTCTCACAGATATTGCAATCGGGTCGCGCGGTCAAAACGCTTTGCCGTCGCCAACATCATGATTCGTGTTGTTATGTCGTGCTTTAATATTTTGGCTCGGGAATCGCGTGTCTGTCATTGCAATCTTAATCTTCGGTGCACACCCCGATTCGCCTCTGTCGTCTACAGATAGGGGTGCCAATCGGTCAAATTTCCTATAGGAAAAAATTTCAAAAAGTGACCTGGATCTTGCAGATGGAAAATCGCTCGAGCCAATCAAATCACATAGAACGTTCCTGGGCAATGCTGCACCCAGCGGCGCTCGCCGCCTCGCGCTCTCTACTTTCGATCAACTCCTGCTCCTTTTCTACCAGCGCTTTCTGCGCGACAGCAACACCGCCCCTTTCGACCGCGCGCTGTGTGTGCGCTGCTCCGGCTGCGTCGCCAAAGGTCCGCCCCTCCCGCTCTATGTATTTGCGTTCGTTTCTCGTGAGGTTGCGACGAAATCGATTTTTTCCTCCCGCGAAGAAGGCCGAGCGTTTGCGTTTTTTGGGGACCCCGACCGCGGTGCTTGGCGTGCTTGACTGGCCATTTTCAGACATGCGGTTCTCGCTGGTAGTTTGTGCGATTCTAGTTCGGTTTCTTGCGTTGTGTCGCTGAAAACCCGACGCTGTGCGCTGCCGATCCGCTCTTCTACGATCACCAAACGCGGCCACGAGCGTGAGCCTTCAAACCGAATTTCGTAGGGTGATCTGCGTTGTTCGCCCGCCCTTTGAACGTCAGTAGAAAACGAACCCGCAGTCACGTGTAGATGACCTGTCTCCAGATGTGTGTAACGTATGAAGAGCCACATCGCTGCCTGGACGCAGGGACTCTTGAACAAACATACGGAGGATAAAGTATACTTTGATCGGTATGATTTCAAGAGCAGGCTGAGAACCAACAATGCGCGTGCCCCCCCCTTTTTTCCGAAAATCCTCGAATAGACCGTTCACTTTTTTGCCGCCAAAATCGGCCCGATCGGCACCCCTAACAGTAGTACCCGATATTTTCTGTTGTCTTTTTTAGTCTTCCGGCTGACATGGAAAAAGAACCCTTAAGCTCATAACACCTCTCCGATCACCGTTGGCTGTGTCAGTTCGTGTTGCAGTTGTAGAACACACCAATATCACTGTTGCCAGTGACGTGAGCTGTCGGCTTGTCATGAATCTCCCACGTGGAGTATTCATGATAAGAGAGATAGGCCGAATACTGAAAGTATTTGTGTTCGGGCCAGTGTGGAAAATTCATTTGAGACAATCTAAACGCGATCTCGCGATCGCGCACCCACCAAGCAAAACCAAGGCCGTGCAGCCCCTCTTCAAGGGCTTCACGGTGGCCTTGTGCTCCTGCGTGCCTGCTGCTCCTGGGCGCCGTTCTTCTTCTTCTTCTTCTTCTTCTTCTTCTTCTTCTTCTTCCTGTTGCTCGTCTCCCATCGTTCTGAAGATGCATTGACGCCGCCGTTGGTCCCCGGCAGCGTCCACTGCGCGTCGTTACGGTTCGCGGCTGCAAGAGGAGCTGGCGACGATGCGGCGGCGGCGGGGGCGGCGTAGCTGTCCTGTGGGTTCGACGCGGTGGCTTCCACCTGATTGGTAGACGTTTCGTTGTGTTCACGTACGTCCAGGCAGGCCGCATGAAGGTAGGCATGCACGTGTACGGTGTGCAAAAAAGCAAGCGCCGAGCGACAAACGCATTTCGAGCGGAGAGGTTTTGAATCACCGCGGCGTTGCGTTCTCTTTCGCATGGTGTGGTGCCATGTGGTCTATCGAGAGCCAGAGGAATATTCGCCTGCGACGTGGGGCAGAGGTTGCACTCATACTTTCATGGGCAATAGGTACTTGTGATGGTTGCTGTAGCCGACATGGCGGGGAGGCAGTGCAAGTTCTGCCTTCCTCAAACCACATTATGCCGGGTGCCCTTCGCAACCTATAGTATAGGAGGGCGGGGCGATAGACAAGAAAGGTGCATGCATGTTTCGGCAGGAAATCGAAGCAAGCAGCATCTACCGGCGCCGAGCTCACCCGTCAGGACATACACTCACCTTCCGTGCCTCCGCTATGAGCAGCGCTAGCTCGTCGGGGTCGATTGCACCATCGATGCCCATCGCGTTCTCTCGCTGCCAGCGAGAGCCCTCCCGAAGCTCAGCAGAGGCGACAGCGTCGCCTTCGCTCAGGTCTAAGCCGAACGTGGAGGCGAGGGCGTTGGCCAGCGCCCCGGACTGAACGTGCACGTTGTAGTGCGGGCAAGAGGCCTTCCACACCAAAATGCCGGCGATGCTGGTGTGATTCGGGCGACCCTGGGCCTCCGCCGCTTCGGTCGCAATACTAGCGTACGTGTCCGTCAGGTCCTGTTTTGGAGTGGGTGTGGGTGAGGGGGCGCGTATATTATCAAGGTGTGGCGATTCGTCTTGACTAAGAACGTGGGGTGAACTGCTAATGCGGACGAAACGCACACACAGATAATCAATCACATGCATCTTTCACCCAAGCACACTCTTTGTTGTATTGTTTCTGCAACCTACGTATGTACCCGCGGAGTTCTGCATTGATTGATTGCTACTGGTTCCAGGTGCGTGTTCGCGCATGGCGGCACGGCACGAAGATACTCACCTATTTCCGAACAAAATAGCACCACTACCGCCACCACCACCAAGAGCAACGAGAGCAATACCTGCACTACCGGTCATACCCAAACAATATCAACATCCGCAACAACAGCAACAGCAACTCACTGTCCTGTTTGAGTGGCCGTTGTTGCCCTTGTCGTCCATCGCCATCCCGACAATGTAGCCCAAGCTACAGGCAGGGCGCATGATATCTTGCGGCACGTAAGGCGGCAGCGTGGAGGGGGGGTGGTGGGCGCCTCCCACGGCTTCTTGGGCGCTTTTCATCAGGGTAAGCTGGAGCCCAACATCGAACTCCATGGACTGGTGGAGGGTGGCCACGATGTCCTGTGCCAGGTTCGGTTGAAGGAGAATTGGGGTACATAGCACAGTACCATTCTTGATAGCTGATGAAAACGTCACCTTTATTTCGAAATTATGTGGCATAGGCAGAATGATCTCAGAACGCCGACATTTCCTTCGAGCGTGTATCCTGGCGGACGGGAACATATATTTGCACGCTTGATGTGTACTCTTTTCACCATGTCCGAGAAGCCGTTGCGGTTAGCCCACGACACGTCGAACGCGCGAGCCACGATGGCCATCCCCCGTTTTAGATGAAGCCCCAGGGAGTCCTCGTTGCATCCTCCCTCTACGGTCCCCGTTGCCAAACCGCTCACGTCCTTGAGTATCTGGACGATGCGTACAGCCTGCTGGATGCCGAAGTCGTCGCCACCGTCGTCGTTCTCGGGGAAGCTGGTGTGGTACCCCCAGCACTTCTGCGTGGTCATGAGGAAAAGGAACACGGCCTCGACGTACCGCTGCAACGAAGTGGGAGGCCCAAGGTGCACGTGAGGGG